ATACCTAAGATGTTCAACCAGAGGAATCATTTCCGGAACAACCAGGAGGTCAATAAAAGAACGGGGGAAAATTAAACAACAAAGACAGCGTCAAATCCCAACCGGGGAGGAACCCAGGGAACAACATGAAGAGTACAGACGACACGTGACATATAATGAAACCGTGACCAAACATCTCCCCGCAGAGGTATGATGATTAAAGAAAAGTCCCTCAAGACTATGAATTACCAAGTCAGTCCTACCGAGATGAAATATAGTTGCTAGGCAAAATAGTATGAGGCATAATCCCAACACCGTAAATGGTGGAAGAATGAATCATAACCGTTAAAACGTGGACTGTACACGCCTAAAAACTGAAACCTAAGAATTAATCCCTAAAAACTAAGGCAACAACCCTAAACTCCAGATCCTAAGACTAACCCCTAAAGCCTAACGCCTGGACAGTGAGTCCTACCCCCTAAAACATAGACCCTAAACCATGACTGCTGGAAGCAGGACCCTAAAAGCTCAAGCCTGAACCTTAAACGTAAACCCTAAATCATAACCCCTGACGCCTAAATCTTGAACCTAAACCTTATCCACTAAACCCGAGAATCTGAACCCTGAAGCCTGAATCCTAGAATGTAAACCGTGATCCTTGGACCATGGGCACTAGAACCTGGACCCAAACCCGTAAATCATGGATCCTGATACCTAAAACCTGAACCATAAAACTAAAAGAGTCCCCTCTGGAGTCCAACTCGCCAACCCCTGAACGCTAAGCTATAGGAAAAACAACCGAAATCGGAGACTCCGAATTCCTAAAAAGTAAACAATGTATCCAACACCTTGAATCTTAAGGGCTAAATCGTAGGCACTAAATCCTAAAGTCTGAACGATGAGCGATGAATCCTGAACCTGAGAATAAATCCTAAACAATAAATCCTCAACCTTAACCCCTAATCCGTGGGCGCTGAACAAACAGCACAATAACTGGGACGCTAGACCACAAAAATAAACCGTAGACTCTAAACCCCAGGATATAGAATGTATCCCATAAGCGCTTAACCCTGAACCCTAGCCCCACAAGCAAAAGCTTAAAGCGTAGATCGTAAACCCTGAAGCCTAAAACCTGAACAAACAAAACTAAACCCTAGAACCTAAACCTAGAAAAATAAATCCTAAACCTACAACTATCCGACTGAAAGATAAATGATGAATAGACAAATCTAATCCCTAAACCCTGAACCCAGAGCACTCAGCCGTACAACGTCAACGCTGAACCATAAGCTCTGAAGCGTGAACCGCAAAGATTGGAATCCCAAGGCGTGGACCGTGAGGGATGAATCCTAAACCACCAATCGTAAACCCTAAATCCGTAATCACTCAACCCTAGACACTAACTGAGCCATAAATCGCAAAATCCCAAATCGAATAGCCCAAAATCCCCCCAAAGATTTCCCCCCCTCCTCGACACCTCTATCCCCCTGTTCCTCAAGGCTCTATGCTTCATAATCCAGAGGGATATGCCACCTGCAGGCACTGGACCCGTTCCCGACGCCGTGATAGCCTACCCCTTCGCGCCCCCATAATTCTATATAACCCATAGAGACTAGCCCCCGTCAGAACCAACCCCATAAAGCCCCCTATCCCCTGCCACACCAGGTGTATTATCGCTCCCCCCCCAGAACTACTCGGGGGGGTGGGACTCACCGTTTCAGATACTGCGTGGTCGGCTGAACTTCCCCGCCCTCCGTTCGCTCCACAATGGGAGTTCTGTAGGACGGCAGAATGACTCCCCCCATCCTTCCACTGTAGGCACTCTTGCGTCCTCTTCTCTACTGCCTCCGCGGCTGATTCCCAGATTTCAGATTCCCCTGTTATTATTCTCGTGACATCTTCAACTGCTTTGTTAAAAGACTCCCAATCTGTAATTTTCGTCTTATATACCCTGGGAGTGTCTGGTGTTTGACCGTCTGGTGTCTTATCTATTTCACAGAATATATTCTTACTCTGATAGTTCCCTTGTGTAAGTATGGCGGTTATCATTTCAAAGATATCTATTCCTGATAAGGAGAATATTTCTCTGCCTCGCCCGCCGTTATTATCCCCTACGAACCACTGCGACATTATTTCTTCAGCGACTTTTGGGGTTGCCCATCTCCTCAATAATTCATATACTTGCTGACACTGATTATCCTTCTCTGCCTTCTCTTCCTTCACTTGTGCTGCTGTGTTATTGAGATTAAAGCCTCTCGCAATAATTGTTACTATTTCAGCACATAATTGTAATCTGACATGACTGGAATTCGTAGTCCTATACTTTGCCTGCCTGGCTATGGCATCCCATTCCTGTCTTGATCGATCTGGCAAACAATTCTCCCCAGGAGTTTCTGATGACGAGAAATTCCCTCTTTTATATTGTAAACAGTTGCTACGATATAGCCGTTCAGACTCATCTTGGCCCTGCTTAAATAATGATAACCAAGCCTCCAACTCCTTACACAGAGATGGAGCAAACTTATAAATTTGTTCATACCCTTCATACTCGGGCGGGATGTCGGGGTCATTCCTCGTTTCTCCCCAAGGAGGTCTGATTCTTTCATTTTTCAAAATTTCACAGGCACGAGGTTTCACTCCTCCTTCTGCATTGCACTCACTTGCTTTCTGTAGATGTTGCTTCAGGATATCCAAATGCCCCCTTAATAGCTTCATCTTAGCTCAAGGAGACTAAATCTACAGCCTGCACCTTATTCGAATATCACTCCTTCCTTCAATAGAAATTTATCCCTCTCCGCTATTCTGAAGTAACTGCCTAATTGAACTATTGCCCCAGATGAGATTCCTCCAAAGATTAATTATATCAATAGCCAACTGCCTTTATGATAGATGGGCAATAGAAGTCCCTATATCTCACTCCACTGCACTGGCCCCAATGAATTCCCCCCGTGGGCTTCTCATCCGCCTTGTCCATGTTCGACCTGGCTGGTTATGACTTTCTCTGCTCAGGCTATTTCTTCCTGCTCCCTTTCTTCTGGGGGGGGGGAAGAGACGATTTTAGAGTCATCCTCCCTTCTACAGCCCTGTCCTATACTCTGCCTCTGTTTGTAAATGGGTCATTACAGCCCCGCCTTCTTATTGCCTAACCCCAGGTGAGCCCTCCGTCCTCCCCTTCTATCTGCTGTTGGACCAGTAGGATCCGATCATTGTTCATGTATCTTCCATATATTCCTCCCCTGACTCTTCCACAATCTCGCCCCTTCCTGACTCTCTCCCTTTTCCCTATTTCCTGGCTGTCCCCCTCCCATTGCACTGTCCAGATGGCGGGGACTTCCACCTCTACGGCTCCGCTACTTAACCTTAGCGTCCATTCGTGTCGTTCACTTGGTCACGCTTAAGGAGCACCTCTTTTTCAGTGGTGAGCCTGCTTGTGCTCCATGACAGTCCCTCTCATCTGCTTCACGTTGGAGGAGCTCAGATTCTCATTAAACTTTTATCCATCTCCCTCAGTTTTGCTATTCTTCCTCTCAGCCTCCGAGGTCTATATCACTCTTACATCCTCTCACCCGGGATACTCACACCAATATCTCATACGATTTCTGCTATTCCGTCTGTTGTTACCACTTCTCGGATTTGACAATTTCTCCTACTTCTCCTTTGAGTTGCTCCCTGTGCTCTAGTGGCCGCTTCAAACAGTCTCCGGGGCCTCCAAGTCATTATTCCTTTCGCTATCTCTATGTTAAGACAGTGCTCAGGGCGACACGGATTCAGGCGCTCGGAAACTCTTACGCCTCCTGCTCCTATGGCTTAATGTCCTTTGGACTGCTCGTTACTCCTCTATTCCCATTCTCAGATTCAACTATTACTTACCTTCGTCCTTGTTCTTCCTAATTAAGTCTAAAAGATTTTCATATTTCGCTTTCAATAGGGTTATGATTCTCTATAACACCCTCCCTGCAGAAGACTGATCCTTTGTTTTGGGGGAATTGGATCTGTCCCCTGAGAGAATCCTATAGTTCCCTTGCTGGATTACCTCCTGTTGCATTGGTCTTCCTCGGGGGATGCGGGAATTTTCCTGTGGCTCTTGATTCTTTTACGAACCTTTTCCCTGTCCTGGAGTCTTCTGTCTGTGCCCTTCATTGATCCTAGTTGCATACGACCTATTGACTTGGGCCCAGTGTACTCCCCACCTAAGTGATTGTCTACTCCCTGGATAAATCTCAAACTCTTTATTCTTTTATTAGGAATGACCCTTGCCGAATGTATTCAGGAATGGTGAGAACACGTAGCCCTTGAATTGTTGCTGTATAACTTCAGTGGGATGGTCTACCCTTGCGCCTCCTAGAGTGTAACCCCTGGGCATCTGCGGTAGGGCTCCTAAGTCATCGCTTTCATTTCTTATTCCCACTGGCCGTTGACCATTGAATTATTGTTTGCGCCCGAAAATTCCGAGTCTCGTTGTGAGGTCACTGCTCTTTATCCTCCCGATTTAGTTTAATCCGGGAGAATCACTCCGTCTGATGAGTTTTCGGAAGCTGTCTCTATTTTCCTGCTTTGTTCCTTCACTGGTTCTGACTTCATCCCGGATTCACGGGCGGTTACTGATCTTCCACTGTCCTGGGGTGAATGAGGGATTTTCTTCAATATTAAGAGGTTCCTATCTATCTTTATTTGTCCAAAGGGCTGGTCGGGTTATTAGCCAGCACGACTGATCGCTCAGGCTCCTTTCATTGCCTTAGACTTGCCTCCTCCTTCACTCTCCTGCTGGTGCCGGTGTCTCCTTCCCCGTCCTAGTCATTTGTGTTGACGTTCAGGGCTACCTCATCCGCCTCAACTGGTTATTCAGATATATCTCTTCCTCCAGCGCTGAACTTCTACAATAGATTCTTCAGTTACTTCGGCCTCCGCTGGTGCATTGCAGGGTCGGTATTTTATATGGCTTTTAGCGGCAGGAAAATTCTCCGCTTAAGGATGATTAATTTCTGGATTCAATATATTCCTTCCGCATACAAAGCTACTTTACTCTCTATTCTTTTGTTTTGGTTAATCTCTTTTTGCTAGGAAATTTCCGGAATTACCTAACTGTTGTATAGCTGCAAATCCTAAACTCATCGTTGAGAATTAATCTTCTAGGCCACGGTCACTCTTCCCTTTATTCTTTCCAATTTTGAACTTTCTTAATAATACTCCGCTAGCCTGCTTGTCGTCTAAGACTCCTCAGAGAGGTACACTTTGGTCACCTACTTTTCCCTGATTATACATTTTCATCTAGCCAGTCGTGATTTTCCTTATGATAGGGATTCAGTTTTCTTCGTAATCAATTCGAGTTTGGTTTCTTCGGTGAGTTACTGTCGGGATCATAACGTTTCTATGCTAATGCGCTGCTTCGAATCTGGACTCTTAAGCTGTCACAAGGGGGATGTCTCTTTGGATAGATATCTATGCTTGGGTCATTTCTCCTTAGCCACAGGGGCATGCAATGATACGAGGGTACCAGTAGACTCTTAGAATTCATTTTACCACTAAGATATTGTGCTGTTCTTCTCCTTTGTCTGGGAATTTATTGGGGTCTCTTATACTTGGTATACTTCTGGTTAATAACTATAGGGGTTTATTTCATGCAAAATTTTCTTCTCTATGCCTTTATTCTATTATTGCAAGTTGACTTGTTGCTTCTAATGATTTCATTTCTTTATTACTCATTTCTTGTGTCCTGAAATCCTGCGATTTAGGAAAATTGGCCATTTCCGGATAGTCGCTGAACTCGTTATTTTCCTCTATATTGGAAGTACTTAGGGAAATGGTACCGCAATTTCCTAATACGAGTTTTTGCTCTTAGTGGGGTCCTCAGGGTTTGGCATATTCTCTCTCTTCTTCTGTCCATTTCCTGTATTTGATCCTCCTTCTGCATGGGGGTTATAGTCGTTTCCTTCTGTTGCTCTGTCTTGCCTGTTTTTATTGGTGAAACTAAGGTAATACTTCCACACCTTCAGTTTTTTCCAGTATTGGTAAGAATTAGAGCATTATTCACTTGAGTAGAGGAAGTTGGAAGGTACTTCGAGTTTGTTTTGGGGGATTAGTCTTGTGGTACATTTTATTTTGCTCTACTCTGCTCGGAGTCTCTGAGATCTTTCCATCTTTGGGGTACTCTATACTTCACAATGGTTAGGTTACCTCATACTAGGAGTTATACTTCCTGGGCTCCTCCCCTTTTAGCTTTCCTTTAGGTTTGGTTCATTATCCGTAGTCGGGAGCGGTTTTCTTTCTCTATACTTATACGGAATCCTTTGCTTTAATCCACTCCTCTTTAATAACTTATGCTTTACTTCACCCCTGCAGTTCTCTTGGCATATCTTATCGTTGGAGGTGCCCGATTTATTATATACTTGTCCTCCCTTTCCTGTTTTTACCATTGCTTGTTTCTAGATACTCCTCATTATTCCTGCCTTAGTGGTATGTTCGTCTGTAGATCTTCTCCTCTGCTTATTATATTTCGTCTTTGGCTCCTTTTTTTTTGGAGAATAGTTTATTTACTTTCTCTTTTGGACTTATTATTATACCTCTTAAGCTTTACGGTTATGATCAGTCTGCGGTAGTGTACTAATGTCTATATTCCTTCATATTAATGTTCAGTCTAGACCTGCTTTTATGCACCAGGCTTCTATTTCTACTTCCTTTCTGTTTTATATTATTCAAACTATTGCTAACTTCGGATTGAGATTTCTATTCAGATGAAGCCTTTGGCACAGCTCCTCGGTAAGATAGCTTCCCTGCCGTATAGCCTAAGTAGTGCTGTCTCAGGGTTTCTTTGCCTACTTGTGAGCCTGGACACTCCCTGTTCTTCCTAGGGCGTCCGATACGGTAGTTATCTCGCTCTCAGAGGCTACTTCTTCGTCACTTTGGTTGCCGCCATAAAACATCATAAGTACCTGCTCCTACTTGTAGTTGTGAATTTTCCATTTGATTTGGTGAAGGCGGGGGGTATCTTATTGTCCTACAAGCCGTTGGGGGGAACCGGCCTCCAGGGGTATAGCGGGAGGAACTGAATAGTTATATTTTCTCATACGAGTTTTTATCACTTATATCTGCTTTATAGGGTTAGACCTTTTATCTTATTCCCTCTTGCAGGAAGTTTTTCTGGGTTCTCATTCCAAGGGATGATTGCCCGTCATGTACTTGTACTTCAGTATTCTGCCCTCTAATTGCCATTTATTGCTTGGCCCATCCACTGATATACCTCACCTTCTTGGGGGGGGGGCCTACTGTTGCAGGGGAGTGTTAATTCTTCTCCCTTTTTCTTTTATCTTGTGGTTTCTACTCCATACTTCCGCACTACAGCTTCTTTGGCAGGCTTGATTTCTTGTTTGTCCTTTGCTCTGTCCTTCTTTTGCCCCTAACAAAAACCTCCGGAGCGAGGAACTCGGCCGGAAGTTTTGAAAGCTATCTGCCCAGATTTCTCTCTGATCCCGGGATACTTCAGTGGAAATAACTGTTAGGTTTCTGAGTTGGACTGTCTTACTTCGGGGAGACATTCTCTGACTTGTCCTGGGGAGATCAGCTTGCCAGGGTTTGTGGGTGTTTATCTTATTGACTTTTACTTCTTGTCTGCATCCCAAATACCTCTCATCAGGTACTTTTTCCCTTGTCTCCGCGGCTAATTGCCCACTTATTGCCTTTTGTTCTGTTAAGGAATATTCCCATTACTATTAATGGTTGGTTCTTAAGGAGGGGACCTTCTTTTACGTCTATAGACGTTGTCTTGCCACTAGTCCTCTTTTGTTGGTTTTTGTTGGGGGGGGGAAGGGGTGTCAATAGAGCTTGTTGTAGGCGCTCGTTATTCTCCTTGGCTCTTTACTACTATTTCCGCTGCCTCTGCGCGTTATCTTTTTCTACTCCTGCCGTCCTCAAATCGCATCCTGTGCCTTGTCTAGTTTCGCCTCTTTCTTCTATTATTGCGCCATCTTCTGGGTTCTCATTATATATGAATAGACAGGGCTTCTGAATTCATCCCTCCTCATTCCTCTTTTCCCTGTGGATACAGGCTTCCTTATCCTTCCCCATTTTTCCTTGTGCTTCATCCATATTAACTTTGGTTATCCTACCCGTCTTTTCCTTTTCCTTGGGGGTTTAAAGGTGGTTTAGGTTACTCACGGCCTCGATTTTCTGGGTCTTCATGCCCCTGTACTCAGGCGTGCATCTCTCCTGTTTCTTATTTGACTTGGTTTTTTTCTCTTTGGTACTCAGTTAAATTATTCTGACTCCCGGCTTGTCCTTTTCGCCTCACATACTTCTCTGGAGGCATCTGTTGCTTCTGGATTGTCCTTCTTTGAGACTTGGATTCTTAGTCCTGTAGTAACCAAAAATCTTTGTCTTTTATCCCTGCATTTCCCTCTGATTACTCTTTTGGATCTCGCTTTTATGCAAGGTTCGTAATATGCCCCGGAGGGGTAATTTTTACCTTCCTTTTGGGATATTTTATACCATTCTTATCAGCTGTGGTTCAGAATGGGTTGCTGTGTTGTTCCTTATTTCACTTACTGGCGCGTTCATTCCGGGGGAGGGGGATGTTATCTGTACTGCTTCCGTTGCATCAATCGAGTTGTTCCACTGAGGATTCTCATTCCTCTTATACATTCCCGCCTGCTGTCGGTCCTGCAGTCCTCTTCCTTCCTCTCCCATTAATCCTCTTAAGAGGTGTGAGCCAATGCATCCTCTGCTTAAAGGGTCGGTAATCTCTAATAATCCTACCCCAGATTTCCCCAGCGACATGTGTTTTTCCCCCCCTTGTTGTTCCGGGGGTTCAGATATTCTTCTGTCGGCATCTCGCTTGTGAATCTATTCGGTTAACCACTCTATTTTCTATTACTACTCGTCGACCTCAGGCACTTTTATTCCGGCTTTGTTTAACCCTAACTCACTAGTTTGTGTCCTGCTCTCTTACTTTATCCAGTAGCTTCTGGAGTGGCGGTGCAGAGATTCTATTTTGTTTGGGATTGTGCATCAGTTGTCTGCCACTGCTGTCCATGGTTTTTCCTGTCATCATAATCTGTTCAGTAACTGTTCGTCTTGTCATACTCCCTTGTTCCTTCTGCTCCTCCTGGTTCATATTCGCTCTTACTTTGCACTCTGCCTACTTCTCGTGGATTTGTCGTCTCTGTTTTCTCTCCCGTTATTTCCCTCTGGCGTTTCCTTGCCTTTTTTTTTATATGGTGCAGTGGAGTTGTACTTAGGCTGGTTCATGAGTCTTGTCTTCTTCTTTAGCTATTGTAGCGGGTTTACTCAGATATATTTTTATATCATACTATAATTGTCACTGTATTTGGTCCCTTTTCTTGGCTGATTATTCCATTCGCTTCTATTCTCTACTTTGTAGCCTGTTTAATTCTACTCTCTATAACTATGTTTTATATTTTTTAGGTAACTTCGGTCAACTTCCTTCCCCTCCTCTACTCAGTCTTGCCCCTCTTTTAACCCCTACCTTTCCCTTTACTTCTTCTGCTTCCTTCAGAGGTGTTACTTCTTCTCTTAGATTGTCAGTATGCCTATTGCTCCAAGGTTGTTTCTTTTACCCTGCCCTGTTAATAATATATGACCTTAATTATCTTAGTGTATCTCTCCTGGATTTATTCCTTCTTTATAAGGAGACCTTCATCCTTCTGCATGCTTGAATCTGGACGAGTAGTTGCCTTGGGACTTGTTGCCCTTTGGACCGCCTGCCTTGCAGGCCCCTGGGTGTTCTTTTCTCAGGATGCTTTAGTGCATAATATAGGACTCCATTTTTTTCATACTTCTTATTTTTGTAGAGGCATAGCCCCTTTAAAATCTAAGGTATACCTCCCTGCGTTGGTACGTAAGTCTCTCCTCTCTTCGCTCGAGGCTGCTTGTCTTTTTCCTTTTTGATCCACTCTTTAATAACTTCTGTGCATTCACCAAGTTAAACAGGCTATTACTCTACTTATGTTCATACTTCCCTGTCCCTTATAAGCTCCAGTAACCGGTCCCTATTGCTTTCACTTGTTTCTCTGAGGTTCTGTATCATGTATTCACTTCTTGTTGATCACGCTGCTTCTGTTGATCTCTTGTCATATACTATGTCTTCTTACTCAAATGTGCATATGGTGCTATGTCCTGCATTCTGGCGCATACTTCATATCTTCTTTTTTATCACGTTCTTTCTCTGTTTTTATTGGTTCTCTCCCTTGGGTGTTCCAGAAGATACACTATCTCCTATCAGTAAATTCCTAACCATTATATGATGTTGCCTCGTTGAGTTATATCCTTCTGCTTATCTACATCTCAGCAGGTCAGGCTTCTTGCTTCTAAATCATCCCTCATGATATTCTATATAGCAAAGAAAATATCATATAAGCCACAACATTCTGTCTCCAGCTATTTAAACAATTATTCCTTTGCCACTTGGGGCGTAAATGTATATTATGCTAATGTATCGAAACATAAAGAGTCCCCTGTTTATTCAGATGATCCCCACAACAATTCACGAATCCTTTCGAAAATTCGGGTTAATTAATCACGTGGAATAACACACAATATGTTTATAAAACTATTTGACTCATTATTAAGGGAGGGAACTTTTCTATTATCGTCTATATGTCCATATAGCATTACACTTAAAACTCATATAAAAACCATATCACTGACAAAATGATCATGTATTTATTCACTTGTTCTCATTTTTCAGAAGAACTTCATAACTCTATGGTGGTGTATGACTCTTTTATAGGACATGTCTTTATGTCAATAGGGGAATGTATGCATTGTATAGGCTTATACTCCCTTATGCATAAAAGGGGTTATGAATACCACTTAACATTCTACATTCCTCTGTGGTTAATAAGGAGACACCTGTTATCGCATCCTCTATAGTCTTAGATACGGACAAAAATGAAGTTATTGTACGACTTATTATACTCCATGAACTCAGCACAGATTCAAGATATTATCTGTCCCTATTCCTTTGTTTATATGCTAGAAAACATGAAGCCCCCGATTTCATATATCTATTTTGTCAGAGGGAAAGATTTGCCGCTGACATTATTCCTTATGTCTCAACCCTACTTTGTTTCTGTGTTCTATGCTTTCGGTTTAGTTTCTAATCTTTATCCTTTGAGCATCCTTCCCTGTATCCTCTTTCCTCGAGTTGTCTTCTCTTTATGTATTAATTATGTACCTTCCCTCCTAGGCATTTCCACTTTGACCGTGATGTTGATATGCCCACTCGCTTGTGGTGTATTTATATTGTGTTACATATCTCTCTCTCCATTCTTTGAAGTAGATAATTTTCTCAAATATGTCATTCGTATTCGTATATACATTCTATTATAGTCATCCGTTCCTATATGGTTGCTCCCCCTCTTTTAGATTAATGATTTTTTAATATCTTATGTGTATTCTTATTCTTATGCTCATTTTATCCCCTTGGCGCGTTCCATGTTATTATTACTCCTAACTCTGCACGAGAAACAGCCCGTTCTATATAGTAGTATTCCTTTTATAATTTCCTATTCCTCCCTAGGGTATAAGAAGTTTAATCTTTCATTTTACATAATTGTTATATTTTAATAGTACCGCATCGATCTCCAGTCCTGTTAAGAGGAAAATACTACAGATTAAGGCAGGTGTGCAAATCTTCCGTAATCATTGTTTCTTAATAGTACCCGGATAATTATTGAATCTATATTACAATAATATTGAGAAGGAATAATCACAGTTCACGATGTATTACTGTACTTACAGTGTTACTTCGCCTATAAAAAGTTCTTCCTATATATAAGCACCCTTGGTATATTGAAACGCCTTTTAGTGATAGTATCCCTCAGTTTCCTATACAGCATGAATAGCCTTAGGATTGTATATGAGTATTCCTGGAATGGAATTATTTTACAAGCCAGTGTATTGGTGAAATCGTATGATTCTTACAACTACCGTCCTCCTCATGGAATTCGACTTTCTAAACCTTTGTATTATCTTAAAAAATTTTCTTTCCTACACAGCACTGTTCTACATAGAATATTACCCTTGACAGAAGCTTATCCTCTAAACAGTTGTTGTAAGGCCGCTTCTTAGAGTTAATACAAATATACCTGAGGCATCTTGTATTTTCTATATATGTGTAACGCTTAGTGATTGGAACCCCTCCAAGAATACCGCTGCATCCACTCTATTATCTCTTACTAAATAGCTCTTTTTAAATTATGGTGCTTCCTCCTTTATATCTTGACGACTCCACAATAGGGACTTCCCGGATTTTCCTACTGTTTATGCATTGCTACTCTAGAGAAAGGTTTCCTTCTCACATACTTAATAATGGTCGCGAAAAATGTACTCTTTATATATTAGTCTTCCAAGGAAATGTATATCCTCCGCCTCATTCTATTCTTCAAATAATAGCACCCGTTGGCCTAACTCTTCCATATAAACGTATTCCAGTCATAGAATCCCCACGATTATGCTTCTGATATCATGGTTCCCCAACGAGATATGTTATCTTCAGCCAATAATATTCTACAAATAAAAAAAACTGTAAAATATGAACGTCCTGCAGAATAATATTCAGGAGACATGTATACAGTACACATAATTATACTGGAGATATAGACGCATGGTTCATATAATAGGGCTGTATGCTAATGGTACATTCTACAGGCCCGTAGTCCTGGGGGAAGCGATATTTTTTAATTAATACTACACATAAATCATTATTCCTCAATTACTCAGGTTCTTCATTTAGTCGTATCTAAAACGCTATGTTATGAGGCCTTCACATAAAAGCATTCCTGTGACACTGTACATTACAAACAACATTTCCGCTAGAATCCTTGCATTGTCCATATGCAAGTATTTCTGCTTCTATTGTATTACTCCGGCAATTATACATTCGACACAGCTATAGCGCTTGCACCTGTGCGTGATTAATGGCCTGCTCTTTTCTTTAGAATGTAGCCCTTAATTCTTCACATAATACTATTTCATAGAGATCTATACTAATCAATGACTGGGGTTGGCCAAAGAATAGGAACCGAAATTTGGAACACATAGGCGGGAATTCACACACTTCTGCATTTTCGATGGGCATATTGTAGGAAAATCCTTATCTTTCAAAGGACGGTTCTTGAGAATATCCGTATCCCTCATACAATACTGTATTTTGAATATCATTCCACTCCACAGAATGCCACTTCTCATTTTCCCTGCTCTCTACATATCATATGAGTGCAGGGACAATAATTTCTTTCAAATGAATGCGATACAAGCTCTGTGTTAGTTGTAAAATATTTTCCTTTCCTTACAATAACAACATACCCGGTAAACCTATACAATAATATTCCTGATACAGCTGTATTCTTTACCAGCACTGACACTTTAGACACATGTGTACTGCTTATATCATCATACCTTTCCTATAATAATACACCCAGTATATTCGTCTACTCCTTACAATGGAGTCATTTCTACATTACCATCCTTGTCAGGGACGACGGATAAGGATAACGATACGGCATGCATGTTCATACACTTTAAATCATAGTACTCCCGGTACAGTAGTACTGAGTTCACAATGTTATTCCTAACATATCAATACTTCGCGCACATCTTCACTATCCACATAATAGTACTCTGGTAATATCACGGCTGAAAGCGAATAAGTAATCTGCACACAATAGTATTCCACACACATGTGTACACTTGCTCGAGCGGTATTCCCCCACTCATGCAGATCCACACATTATACGGCTGTTAATATAATAACACTCCAGGGAGTGCTATGAATTCCGGAATAGGGTGCTTTGCCTATAATAGAAGCCTAAACAGTAGGCCATGATGTTCCACCTCTTTTAATAATTGTACATGGGGGGTATCCAGAATCACACCACAATTGAGCACTCCAAGACATCACACTAGGGAGATATGACTACGCTCACTGAACAGTTTTGCTGATCATCTGTAGTTCTGATAGAACTATGCTCTTAAAAGAATGATACTCTGCAGATATCAGTATAGATCAACCATTAATACCTTCATATAACAGTACTACGAGAATCTCCGCATTCGTCATCATGAGAAATGGGGACACATCAAGACTTCTTT